ATATACTGACGTGTACTCACACACACTTATACTCATACTCATATATACTGACGTGTACTCACACACACTTATACTCATACACATATATACTGACGTGTACTCACACACACTTATACTCATACACATATATACTGACGTGTACTCACACACACTTATACTCATACACATATATACTGACGTGTACTCACACACACTCACTTGTGCTCACACGCACTCACAGCCGCAAGCCTGCTGCACACTCAGATTCTTCTGCCCATCTGCTGACACCTTTCAAACACAGCTGGGCATGCAGTGTGTACGACATCCAGGGGGCTGTGGTGCCGTCGTGTCATACTGGAGGCTGTACTGGATTTCCTGTCTGAAGGTGTTTCCCGTCTTCGCAGTGTGACGCCGTCAGCACGCTGGAGAAAGACCACGACTACAGGGACGAGCACTTTGACTTCATCCAGTCGCACATCCGCAGATTCTGCTTGCAATGTGTCCTTTCTGGGGGCTCAGGGTGGACGCGTTGTGCATCATAGTGGTTGGGCTTTACTGACGCCCTTGTGAAACGCAGCATTCGTGCCTTCGAGGTGTCTGGACATGTAGACGCACACGCCCAGCACTAAATCATACATTTCTGAACGACTAAGTCAACAAACAGGAAAATGTAGCTCGAGCATTGTTTTGTTTGAGATGTGCTAAGATCATATTTCAATTCAGTACCTGTCTACCAGTTGATCGCTAATGTTGTTACTTGTGGGGGGGGCTCAAAGACCCACAATCAAGAATAGGCCCTCCTCCCCCCACATCAGCCCAGACAGCACTCTCCTTGACAAGCGGCTCCCAGACGGCGCCGCCCTGGTGTACACCTCAATGAAGGACAACAAGAACCTGGACGTGCTGTATAAGTACCTTGTCCACAGACTCTATGGGTTTCCCTTCATTGTTCCAGCTCATGTTGTGGAAAAGGATGCAGTCTTTATGTGAGTTTTGTGTCGCTTCCTGTTTTGCGGAAATGTCCTATTAACATCCTGTTTGCCATGTTTCTGGAATTTTCTACTAATATCTGAATTAGTTTATCACCTCTCGATTTAAAAATGTTTTCCACCTAAAATTACCAATGATTACTTGGGAACCATAATATTGCAGTATTCATTACTAATTCAGTGGTAATGAATCACTTTTATACAGCAGATTGCAGGCAGGATGTGCCGCAGATTGAGTTACACATCCCCGCTTGTGCGTGTGTTTGTGAGAACACGCCAGGTTGACAGCCTGTTCCCTTCTCTCTCAGCCCAGCAGGATGGGACAACGAAAAAAAAATTGCAATCCTGCATGAAAACTTCCAGACGATAAAAGCAGAAGACAGCTTCGAGGACGTGATTGTGAAGCCGCCCGTGAGAAAGGTTAGAGCACTAATGGTCCAACACGGAGTGTCCCAGGACCCTGCTGTTAAACCAATGAAATAGGCCTCTTAACCTGAATCATGTCAGTATATGATCTAACTGAATAAATGGGTAAAAATTATATGCTGCTTTGCTTAAAAGCATCATCTAAACAACTAAATGTACGTGAAAAATTACAAGGTACTAACCAGCTGAATAAATCTCTGTTTTATAGTTTGTGCATGAGAAGGAGATTTCAGCGGAAGATGACCAGGTGTTTCTGATGAAGCTGCAGGTATCGAGAATAGTTATTTTATTTAGCAGAAGCTTTTGTCCAATCTGACGTAGAAGCGACGCAGATAGTACATCACTTACAGCTCAACAGCCATCAGGGACAAGAGCTACTAGGCTGAGTAGCTGATGAGTGACAGATACCAGGCAGTAAGTGTCAACGAAGAGCACTGAGGAGCAGCTGAGCCTAAAGACTGATTTATACATTCATCCTTGCTGTTAAAATCACTTACATGCGAGTCTGTGAGAAATTGATTTATTTTGAACTTATTTTGAAACAAAAGCAAAACATTTGCATAGGAGGAATTATGATGTAATCAAGCGGCCTGCGTCGCCACGAGGTGTATTTACGTTTTCCGGGGGGGGGGGTGCATGTTAGGCTACAGCGTAGATTCTACAGAGACGCAAAAATCAGCCTTAAGTGTGAAAGAGCAGAGCAGAGCAGGCAGGTCTGCCAGGCGACATTCTTTTGGCAAATCTGCCGGAGCGGGCAGCGGGCAGCGGGCAGCTGGCGAGGTCAGTGGCGGGTAGAGGGGCCTCCTAGGTTTTGCATGTACAGAGACAGCTTCTTAGAAATTCCTTGCGGTGGTGCAGCTGGTCTAGGAGGGAACGGCGACGGAACACGCGGCTTTTCCCAGAGCTCTGCCGCGTCGGCCTGCCAGCTTTGGCTCCTGCCTGCCTCACTTCCTGTCCATTCTGTCCGTCCTGCAGGGGCTGATCGCGAAGCAGCCCACGGTGGCGGCTGGACGGCCTGTGGTCAGTATTGCGGCCTGAGTGCATGGTGCATGCCCATTGCAGAATGCACCTGACTGCCGCCGGATTGGGAACTGAGTAACCCAGTGGCAAGGGGGGTGGAGGTGGGGGGGTCATACTACTGTGATTAACCAATGGAAGTGCAGCTCTCTGCACCATGGGAGAGAGCGATCAGATGAGAAAAACACCACCAGCAACAATGACAGTAATTGTAAGGGGTAGTGTGGTGGCTCACTGTGCCTTGGTTGGGGGCTCAAGTCCTGCCCCCCCAGCTGCGTATTTTGCATGGGTTTCCCCAGTTCTGTTTTTTTTTCCCCACTGTGTGTGTGTGTGTGTGTGTGTGCGTGCGTGCGTGTGTGTGTGTGTGCGCGTGCGGCTGCCTAGTGATGGGCTGGCATCCTGCCCCGTCACCTGTCTGCCCCGTCCTGCCTGCTGTATGTTCCAGCCCCCCCCCCCCCATGCCCTGATCAGCTTTCACAAAAGCAGCAAATGTTTTACTAGCTGAAACTAGCTCGATCCAGTGACACCTCTTGTCGTCGTCCGAACAGGAAGCGTCTGGCAGAGCCCCCAGCGGGTCACCTCGGACGACCAACCGCTCGGCAGCGTCGAACGTGGCCAACGCGATGCCCATGCAGCCAGGTATGGAGTGGGCGGGGATGTCACTGTGACAGGGAGGGAGTGTGCCAGTGACATTTTGGGGCTTTTATCCAATTATGGCACAAGGTTGGAAAATGCGGACGGTTATTGCAGTTGTACCTTTGAATAGGGTAAATCACAATGCAGTAATGGAAGTCTATGTCTGGTCCTGTGTCTTTCCCTGCTCTGGTGGTTTTGCAGGTGGCCAGACAAGCGAAGGGGTCCTGGCCAACTTTTTCAACAGCCTGCTGACTAAGAAAGCTGGTGCCCCTGGACCGGGGGGCAGTCCCGCGGGGGGAGGGGGCGGCACGCCCACACAAGTCCGGAAGTCAGGTACAGAACCTGAAAACTGTCATGCTGAAAGCTGACTGGTAATTCTGGGGTTCACCACGCTCCCTCACTCTCACTCTCAACAGACTGCCGTGGTGTATCGCTGCTGCACCAGTAGGTGGCAGTCATGAGCTATCCATGTGACTTCAGTGCTCTGGAACTTGTCCCTGTATGATGAGAATTGTTGCAATGGAGTGTTGCGGATTAGACTCCACCACTGGTCCTGATAGTCCTCAGTGTATCTGAGCCGCAAACCTCAGCCTTCTGTCCCACAGGGTCTAAGCTGGGCTTGACGGATGTGCAGGCTGAACTGGACCGAATTGCCAGCAAGTCAGAACCAGAGGCGCTGTCACCCACTGCTGCAGAGCCCACTGCTGAAAATGAGGAGTCCTAAGGTTGGGGTGGGGCAGGGCAGCCAAGCAGTGCACCCCCCCCATGAAAATACCTCCCCTTACTTTCGTTTCCATCTCCGTCTTCTCCCTCTTCTATTAGACACATTGTCGGCGACTCTGCCATGTACACTAACGCCGGCAGCAGGTGGTGCATGCTGGATGTTTCTCTTGATGTTGTGTCTGGAGATGAAATCTGGAAAGACAGGGGACACTGGCAGAGAGATCCTGGGGGCAGTATCTCTTTAGATTAACAGTTAAACGTTTGTAGATACAAAAGAAGTCTTGCGAAAGACCCTGGCTATTAATAACACCGTATATGCAAGGAATGGAGGGCACTAAACTCTTAGTGGTAAAACTTAGCTTGATCCAGCTGCACTCAAAATGCATGTCCCGATTACCAAAGGCGAGAAAAAAAAAGCAACGTGACACAGATAGGGAATTTTTAAAGGGGTTTCTACCCTCGCCTTGGCCGGTGTGATAACGGAAGAAAGTGTGCAATAAAGCTACGTTAAACGGCAGGATCGCCTCGACAAATAAGTGTTGTTTTTTTGTGTCCAGTTTGTCGTGAGGAGTCTCGATTATCTGAACATACGATGCAACGAAACGGATAGTGAAAGAGCCTTGCTTCGTCTGAAAAATGTACATATATGTTATATTTCACTATAACGTGATTGGTCCATTTTTTCCAGATATTGTAGTGATATTTCACCTGGTTGGTATCCATAAGAAAAACGAAATAAAATTGTATTTATTCTGTATTCAAAGACCTAGTTCTTTATTTCCCCCTTCATCGCAATGCAGAAGTTTACTGTCGGCATACAATTCGGTATCGTTTAACTGGTTGGGGGTCCGCATTTACTAAGTATATTATAAATCTTATTAAGACCCGAACGAACAAATGGAGTAAGTTGAATGGCGTGACTTGGGTTTGCAAAATAGCCCTTAGCTTTATAATGGAATAATATGGTTTTGCCGTAAGATTTCTGACGTAAGCGTGAGTATCACGCCCGATTCGTCAGAGTTGGCAATCCTGCAATTTAGTTTAATCAGCAGTTTTGAAGCTTGCCAGACGCGTTTCCCCACTTTGCTTCAGACGTACTTATGTTACTTGCCATATTAGGCGGATCTATAGCAACCTTTACAGTTTAAATGGACTAACATTGACTGCAATGTGGTTGACAGACTGGAGCCAACTGGAACCGGCCGTGGAGACCCCGATTATGACGGGAAGCTAAAGATCGAGTTGTCCTTGAACTCCAACTTTAACTTCCACTTAAATCGACTTGAAGTTCAGCATTGCCATGCCGTTTTTTTTGGAATCAAGATATTTCGTAATGAAAGTCTTAGAAACTGTAAGTAAATGTATCATATAATAATGTTTGCTGGGGGGTTGATTTTATCCCCATTTAGGCTATCCTCACAAACAGTTATTGAAGTGACAATGAATTGATATAATCGTGGTTCGAAGCTCGGCTTCTCTGAGGTAATTGGGGGGGGATCTCTAAAAAGTATCCACTTTTGTGTTATAGGTTATATTTTATTTTCCGTACATTAATGTTCCTGAAATAAAAATAAATAAATAAAAATACAGTGCTGTTAAATTTGGTCAGCTGGCTGGCGTGACATTTTCAATGTATGTAAGTTTAACACTTGTCCTTGTAATTTATTCATTTATAAAGTATTATAAATACGACTATAACGGTTTATAAAAGGCATAACACATTATAGCAGGGGTCTCCAACTCCGGTCCTGGAGAGCTACTGTCCAGTAGGTTTTCTATCCTACCCGGCTTCTGATGAGCCACACCTGTTCTCAGGTAAATACCAGGAACAGGTACGGCTCATCAGAAGTCAAGTGGGACAGAAAACCTACTGGATAGTAGCTCTCCAGGACCGGAGTTGGAGACCCCTGCATTATAGCCATGATTATTATGCATTATTATTATTATTATTATTATTATTATTATTATTATTATTATTATTATTATTAATGCCCCATAAAGCTCTCATCTATAATGCGCTATAGGCCTACATATCTTCATAATGTAGTACAAAGAATCATTAATTCTAATAGGCCTACTGACCATTATAATGCATTATGAAGGTATTTATACTGCATTATAGATGAGAATATTTATGCATAATAAACATGCCTATATGCACCTGCATTTGCATGTAATAACCTAGTTTCATCACCTGAACTGGCGTCTCTGAAAACAAGCTGCTAACCGCAGACATTAGATTTATTTCGCTTGTTTAAAACAAGTTATCATAACAATGCTCAACTTCTTTTGTTCAAATTATTTGTTGTTCTTGAAGGGCTGTGTATGAGAAACCGAAAGACATTATCTGTGTCTGTGATCTTGTTTTTTTTTTTTTTTTTTGCTCCTGTTAGGCTGTTAAACTTCTTGCGTGATTCTTATGTTGTTAGAACTGTGCCTGTATGTCTGTATGAAATGTTACTCACGGCATTAACTGCCTGTAGTGGTAATATAGTTATAGCAGAATATTTTTTGCAGTAATCCTGTTATTGACCGAGCTGTCACGCATTAACATGTATGCACGTGCATGTCGTGGTGCACGCCGGAAAGCCACTGTAATTCCATCCATCCAACTTCTGCTTGTCCGGGGTTCGGGTCGCGGGGGTAGCAGCTTCAGGAGAGATACTCAGACCTCCCTCTCCCCAGCTACCTCTACCTGCTCCTCGGGGGGGATGCCGAGGCGTTCCCAGGCCAGCCGAGAGATATAATCTCACCCTATCCCTAAGGGAGAGCCCAGACACCCTGCGGAGAAACCTTATCTCGGCCGCCTGTATTCGCAATCTCATTCTTTCGGTCATTACACACAGCTCATGACCATAGGTGAGGGTAGGGACGAAGATGGACCAATAGATCGAGAGCTTTGCTTTCCGGCTCAGTTCTTTCTTAGCCACGACGAACCGGTTAAGCGCCTGCAAAACTGCAGATGCCGCTACTGTGTAATTCAATCCCTGCATATAATGCACAGTTTAAAAAGGCCTATCTGATAACATTTTGTGACGCTTCAGGTAACCAAAGGTTGCCATGTATAGTGTAGATTTACGTGCCATGCAGGTTATAAAATTAATCATTACACAGGCAATGAAAAAGTGTAGCTGATAAAAATAGGCTTGATCTGACATCCTATCTGCGGCCGCACTCCAGCTCGCGCCGAGCATGCAGGCTTACATAAAGTGGCGTCGGAAGGGGGGGTGGCGCGTGGAGTGGGTGCCTGATGTATATTGAGACATTGCAATTGGCGCACATGCAATACTCACATGGTGATAGGATGCGATATGACAGATTTTTTAATTACTTAAGAATAATAATGAGTTCATCATTTAAAATAAGACTCTTTATGGTACAGTTTTACAACTAAACAACTAAAAAATAACTGACCCATATGATTACATGAGTTTGTCTGATACAGGTCTACTCAAATCAATTTATTTTAAAACACCCTTCACAAGTCGACCCAAGGTGTTTTTCATGGTTGTGTCATGACAAATGACAACATCATTAAGCAGGAGGGGCAACAGGTCCCCTCTAAGGTGCATAAGGGGAAGGGTTCGGCAGCCGGGGGGGCCGGCAATGTCAGCGCCCACCAGCAGCCCAGTGTCTGCAAGCCTTC